CAACAATTCAAACACTTTCAATTTCTTTCTCAACAAGTCACAACCACACAAGCCCTTATATATACATGGCATAGCTTAATCTCAAGAAAACCAAAGGGAAAGGATGTTATATCTCATGCTAGGCTTGGTTATTCCATGTGGGTTAAGAAAGAAATTTTGAAGCAAACAACCTCAATCATGGTTTCTAAGGACAATTTAATTCCAAGAAATAAGGCTAAAGCTCAACTAATAGCAAACATGGCCTAAAATCATCTCTCAAGAATTTTTAGTAACACATTTCCTATGCAAAATAATTCAGAACAATTGGCAGATCAATACTCAAAACTTTGCAATGAAACCGTCATATATATAAGTCAAAATGGGTTTTCAGTACAAACTCTAACTGAAAACAATAATAAGTTTGTCTACTAAAAATTTATTATTGATCTCCAANCTTTGCAATGAAACCGTCATATATATAAGTCAAAATGGGTTTTCAGTACAGACTCTAACTGAAAACAATAATAAGTTTGTCTACTAAAAATTTATTATTGATCTCCAAAGCCTTATCTCAAAATTATATTTCGAGCTCCTCATTATTATATGTTTAATAATCTCCCAATATTTAAGATTATAGATATCCGCCAATTAATTAAATTATTGACAATTATATTTAATTGACTTCTTTTTATCCTTGAAATATTACCACTCAACTTATTTATCATGTCAAATAATTAAATCCACCTGTAGGATTTGATATGAACGAAACTTATGAACATCCTTAAGAAGACGTCATTAACCCATTCAAATACTGGGACATGGTTTCCTTTAATAATTAATTTTCACCATACAAATAATTTTGTCTCCAAATTCACTGAGTTTGTTGACTCAAATATTAATCTCACTCTTTTATGAATTAAAGTAAACATCATTATATGCACGTGTCAATTACATATCTCAAAATTAAGAGTTTAAACAATCATAGTAATCACAAGGTATTTATTTTCTTATTTAGTCAATGAAAAAAAAAACTCCATAATGGTCATGTCCAATACACAAAGTGTACTAGTACAACAATTTAGGATATCAAACATTCTCACATAGCCAAGGCAAACTATCTCATAAGGTTGCATTACAATCCTACTGATGATGTATCCAATTTCATCTAAGATTGTGAACCTTTACTCATATCTTACAAGAATTCGATAATATGATTTTATGTGTATAAACAGAACTCTACACACCAGATTATCTACAATATAAACTAAAAGACTATGCATAACATATATTTAATATAATGCAAACATTTTCCCCATACAAATTCTTAATTGGAGATTAGTGTAAACATGTATGATAAATATTGAAGACGTGTTAATATCTTATCTTCGAGAATTATCTTCAACATGTGTTTATACCCCGGAATGCCTCTCAACTTCTTTTCTTCATCAAATCATCTGCTATTCTAATCGGACCCTTCCTCTGTTGTTCTCTCAACTTGAATCACTTTATTGTCATTATAAATCATCAGAATTACCTAAAAAATGAAACAAACAACTAGAACAAATATCATGCTAGAAAATCCAGAAATCTAACGTATAAATCTCAAAGAATATGCAATTAACCAATCCTTAAGCATAATAAATTAACATTTTTCATGGTTAATCAGGGGGCACCTTTACTTACGTAAAATATTCTCTAGTGGCCCCCTTAGCTGATTTATGCTTATGACATTTTAACTTGTCGTCGAGCTCCTTGGTTTTAAAATGCCTCCAACTATCCTCCTGGTCCTCCATCTTAGCAGACTTTTTCCTCTCGTGCCTATCATGTGTGCCCTCTCTCTGCCTACCCCTGCGCTCCCATTAATGTTAGATGCTCGGTGGTCTATGTCCACAGGGACCTCATGGTCCTGCAATATTGTCAGGGCTTCTTTGAGTGCCTCATCTGTCTAAGTTTATCATCTCCCTTTTGGGACCTCTTAAGCATAGCCTCGTAACTGTCCAGTCGAAAATGGAAAGACTACCAATTTCATGAAGGCTGAGATCTTGCCTTCGATTTTGGGTGCGTCATCTTTGCAGTTATTATCTTGAGGATTATAACCACCTAGGATTACATTGTCTTGCTCCGCTCATTCATCATTCAAACTGCCAGCAGCATTGACCCTTATGTCACAGTCCAAGGGTAGGGATACTCGATAGCTACGCTCAAGATTGTATTCATTGAATTCTTCGTTGTTGCGTGGTGATCGTAGCGTGCTCCACAGATTTGACATGTATGATTTCATTTGTCTTCCACAGATGTCGCCAATTGTACAAGAAAAAAAATCTCATACCTTAGATTGATGGTGATTTGGAATTTGAGAATAGAACTTTCTTGGGAAAAAAGAATGAACAACAACTTCCTCCCGTAAAATGAACAAAACCATTAGGGCTTGGTTGTGGAACAATCGGAGGTATTTCAATACTTAAGTCAGTAAAGAATCTGAGAACAAGCAAAAAACATTTTGCAAGGAAGAGAATGTGTATTTTAGACTTCAGCTTTCTCCAGTATTTATAGTGGTCTGTACCCTCTTCTAGGGTTTTTCATCATTGACTGTACAAGGTATCACACATATTTTTTAGCCAAATCTTCTTTAATTCGTGNAATTTTGCAAGGAAGAAAATGAGTATTTTAGACTTCAGCTTTCTCCAGTATTTATAGTGGTCTGTACCCTCTTCTAGGGNCATTTTGCAAGGAAGAGAATGTGTATTTTAGACTTCAGCTTTCTCCAGTATTTATAGTGGTCTGTACCCTCTTCTAGGGTTTTTCATCATTGACTGTACAAGGTATCACACATATTTTTTAGCCAAATCTTCTTTAATTCGTGCATGAATATTTTTAGACTTCCTTTCTTTTTCGTTGATTCTTTAGGTCACATGTTTCTAATGTGCACCTACAATTTAGGCAACTTCCTTATTGGTTGACTAGCACCGTTTTTGTTTATTCGGGATAACTTAGCTATCTCTTTGATTGGTCTTTTATCAATGTCTAAGCTTCATCTTATCAAACATCTCAGATTTCTAAGGATGACCTAGCTATCTATTCTTTTAGCTAGGGTTCATTCTCTAAAAGATAAGGATTCAAACTCTTGCCCTAACTCCAGTCTTTTAACATCTCTTTGAAAGCATACTTCAAAAGGCTCTACTTGGCATACACGCTTGAATATATTTTTCATCGAGTAGACCCCTTTTAATTGATTCCCTTTCTAATCGGGCTTCTAATCAGTCTACTCGGCAAGACTATAGTGTTGTTTGGTTGAGTCTTTATATGTTCGGTCATTATAAAATCACTTCAAATAACTCTTTTTAGCCCATACAAATTATCACGTGTCTAAATCCGCTTATCACATCATGATTCAGAGATTATAAACCCCTTCAAATATTTAGCGCTAAAAGTAAAGAGTTGCACATTGTCTGCTAACTTTATGAAAAGTTTTGTTCGCTTACTTCCAGAAGAGTGTGTGACGTGCAATGCGTTATCCGTTTTTGAAAACATCACATGCTACACCCTACTAATGTTGCAACTCGAAAAAGTATCAAGGATAATGTGGCAGTATGATGTCACATGTGAAAGACCTATGTTCAGGGGGTACACTGTAATTAGTGATAATTCTCATGGAATAAACGTCATTATTATGTCTTCGTGAATGGAAAATCCAACACCAATTAACGGTTGGGCACATCACAATGTTTTTAAGAATTTCGAAAGTTTTTTTTTTTCCNTACACTGTAATTAGTGAAAATTCTCATGGAATAAACGTCATTATTATGTCTTCGTGAATGGAAAATCCAACACCAATTAACGGTTGGGCACATCAGAATGTTTTTAAGAATTTCGAAAGTTTTTTTTTTTTCTTAAATCTTTAACGGAACAAAACAACTTTAGATATTTATTATGGAGGGCAAAATGCCATTAAACCAAGATGGTGATTGACTCTCGAATTTGCGCACAACAATTGATTACCAACCTTGATGTGATTTATAAACAGCATCTAACGTATAATCTACTAAAAGAATAATTATACAAGTTGTGAGTGGTTTTGACTGTAATTGCCATTTTTATGTTTNAAACAACTTTAGATATTTATTATGGAGGGCAAAGTGCCATTAAACCAAGATGGTGATTGACTCTGGAATTTGCGCACAACAATTGATTACCAACCTTGATGTGATTTATAAACAGCATCTAACGTATAATCTACTTAAAGAATAATTATACAAGTTGTGAGTGGTTTTGACTGTAATTGCCATTTTTATGTTTGTCATTGGATCTCTGTAGATTTCTTTCTACCCTTGCATAATTACTGGATGTTGGTAATAGAGGAAACAACTACACGCCCACGGCCCAGACCAGAAAACTCAAATTACCTTTGTTTCCTTTTCCATCTTTATGCTGAAAATCTTCTACTTGTAGGGTATAATAAGTGATTTTNATAATTACTGGATGTTGGTAATAGAGGAAACAACTACACGCCCACGGCCCAGACCTGAAAACTCAAATTACTTTTGTTTCCTTTTCCATCTTTATGCTGAAAATCTTCTACTTGTAGGGTATAATAAGTGATTTTGACCTCTGAAATCATTCCAGATCAAACTCACCATTCGAATAATTTTTTGTTAAGAAAATTTTCTACTTGATCCTGCTTCACTTACAATTCAAATGACTTATCTAACTTTTAAACTAAGTTTTTTTTTAACATCATCTCGTACTACTGATTTATATGAGAAGAATTATTTATTTATTTTTGAATTCTTTGATTGTTCAAATAAGGGCCTCTTTGCAATTAAAATCTAATAGTCAAATCAGGACTTTCTTAAAATAAAGTAGGTTGCAGGGTGCTGACCAATGCATTAGCCGAACCGAATCAGGCATTATTTTACAAAACAAATGGCAGCCCACAAACTGAAAATACATGATGGCCTGGTTTTTTTACAATGCATTAACCATTACCCTTATTATTATGAACTGAAAAATAAAGAATGCTATCAGGCCATGGGAGCATTGTCACCACTGTTCTGAAAGAAGGATTCATAAGTTTCCACTCTTGTCTTTGAATCAGCTACCTCCAGTTCTTCTATAAAACCCAAGGTCATTTTGACAAAATCTGCCATATGTACTTGCTTCCATTCCTTCAATATCATATGGTAGAAAACAAAGTAGAAAAGTCAAAAAAGAAAGAAATGAGTTTATTACCGGGAAAAAAAAAAAGGTAATCAGTAACAACTCTCACTTAAAATGAAGGGCTCCACATGGAGTGCTTTTTTTTAAATGAACGATACGAATTCCATTAATTATGAATATTCGAGAGGAGGAGGTCCAGTAAAAAATCTGGAGCCACCTCCTCTCATACATCAAAACAACTAAGAGAAGTATGTCTAGCCAAACAATGTGCAACCTTATTACTAGACCTTCTTACAGTAGAAAAATCAAAGGATCTAAACTCATTCAAAGCTTGCCATATATCCGCCAATATTGTACCCAATGGCACAAAATCATCAGCAACTTTCGAAATCAGCTTCGTTACATTGATTTAGTCGCCTTCAAAAATAATGTCTTCTCACCCATAATTACGTGCAAAAAGGACAGTCTCTCTTGCAGNGCTAACAATAGCATCCACTTGCAACAGGTTCCTTGGAGAGACAGCTCTAAAAGTAATGGGGGTCGGAATCCACCTATCATGCCATACTTTAATGTTAGAGCCATCACTGACTTGCCAAATAGAACCAGCCTCTATGATAGATCTTGCTTCATAAATGCTTTGCCAAGTATATGATGGTCTGTTACCCATCTTAGCATCCAACATAGATTCAACCGGAAAATATCTGGATTTTAAAACTTTATGTAGGAGGGTATGAGTTTCATGGTGAATCTCCAAGCTTGCTTAGCCAACGTCGCCATAGTGAAGGTTCTTAGGTCCTAGAAACCCAAACCTCCATTGCCGTTGCTCTTGCACATATCCGTCCATTTCACCCAATAGATTTTCTTCTCGCATCTTTCTGACCCCACCAAAATTGGATGCCATTGATTCCAAATCGCTGCATAAGTATTCTGGCAGTTTAACGCAGCCCATAGCGTAAGTACGGATAGACTGTGCTACCGCTTTAATGAGAACTTCCTTTCCAGCTCTGGATAGCAGTTGTTCCTTCCATCCTTGCAATTTCTTCCCTACCTTCTCCCTTTAAGGGGCAAAAATTTCTTCTTTAAGTGACCCACCACCGAAGGCAGACCCAAATATTTTTCATGCTTAGGAACCCGTGGGACACCCAGAATGGCCATTAATTTTTCAGCCCTTGCTTCTGAAACAGTTTTGCTGCAAACCATGGCCAATTTTTCCTTATTTATTTGCTGTCCAGAAGCAGCCTCTTATAAAGCCAACAGCTCCTTGATTGGCTCCACATGGAGTTTAAGTCCTAGAAACAACTAATGTCCTTTTATTGGGTCCAACCTAAAACTAGGGTTCATTCTAACCAAGTGAAACGTATAAAAAACTATTAACAATTCTATGAGTCAGCAACAAGTTGCCAAAAATTTTGCTATTTGGTAGAAAACTGCTCACCAATTTGGAAAGGAATTTCAAGAAATATTTTGCGAAGCTATTTGAACAAATGTTTTTAGTCCTAGAAACTAAACTATGAAACACTTGAGCATCTTTCTAGAAAGATTAGTGATAATTATGTGCCTGAAGACACTTTATAATACCAAAAATTGAGTATTGATTGTGCGATATTTATACTTTAAATAATAATTTATTTTTTCCTTTAATTATATCATTTAAAATTAAAATAAATAAGGAGAAAATAAGATAGGAATATGAAATATGGAATAGGGAAGAGGGAAGAGGGAAGAGGGAAGAAAGAAGTGGGTGTGAAATAGGAGTTGTTTGGCATTGGAAAATATGTTGATTGAGTTGTCTGACATTGGGGGCGGNACTAACAATAGCATCCACTTGCAACAGGTTCCTTGGAGAGACAGCTCTAAAAGTAATGGGGGTCGGAATCCACCTATCATACCATACTTTAATGTTAGAGCCATCACTGACTTGCCAAATAGAACCAGCCTCTATGATAGATCTTGCTTCATAAATGCTTTGCCAAGTATATGATGGTCTGTTACCCATCTTAGCATCCAACATAGATTCAACCGGAAAATATCTGGATTTTAAAACTTTATGTAGGAGGGTATGAGTTTCATGGTGAATCTCCAAGCTTGCTTAGCCAACGTCGCCATAGTGAAGGTTCTTAGGTCCTAGAAACCCAAACCTCCATTGCCGTTGCTCTTGCACATATCCGTCCATTTCACCCAATAGATTTTCTTCTCGCATCTTTCTGACCCCACCAAAATTGGATGCCATTGATTCCAAATCGCTGCATAAGTATTCTGGCAGTTTAACGCAGCCCATAGCGTAAGTACGGATAGACTGTGCTACCGCTTTAATGAGAACTTCCTTTCCAGCTCTGGATAGCAGTTGTTCCTTCCATCCTTGCAATTTCTTCCCTACCTTCTCCCTTTAAGGGGCAAAAATTTCTTTCTTTAAGTGACCCACCACCGAAGGCAGACCCAAATATTTTTCATGCTTAGGAACCCGTGGGACACCCAGAATGGCCATTAATTTTTCGGCCCTTGCTTCTGAAACAGTTTTGCTGCAAACCATGGCCAATTTTTCCTTATTTATTTGCTGTCCAGAAGCAGCCTCGTATAAAGCCAACAGCTCCTTGATTGGCTCCACATGGAGTTTAAGTCCTAGAAACAACTAATGTCCTTTTATTGGGTCCAACCTAAAACTAGGGTTCATTCTAACCAAGTGAAACGTATAAAAAACTATTAACAATTCTATGAGTCAGCAACAAGTTGCCAAAAATTTTGCTATTTGGTAGAAAACTGCTCACCAATTTGGAAAGGAATTTCAAGAAATATTTTGCGAAGCTATTTGAACAAATGTTTTTAGTCCTAGAAACTAAACTATGAAACACTTGAGCATCTTTCTAGAAAGATTAGTGATAATTATGTGCCTGAAGACACTTTATAATACCAAAAATTGAGTATTGATTGTGCGATATTTATACTTTAAATAATAATTTATTTTTTCCTTTAATTATATCATTTAAAATTAAATTAAATAAGGAGAAAATAAGATAGGAATATGAAATATGGAATAGGGAAGAGGGAAGAAAGAAGTGGGTGTGAATTAGGAGTTGTTTGGCATTGGAAAATATGTTGATTGAGTTGTCTGACATTGGGGGCGGTGTAGAAAAGAAGATATTTTGGAGTGAAAAATTTTATTTTATTTTATTTTTATGAATTTTGTATTATTTGATCAAAGTAGATGAAAATTGGATTAGTCTTAACCGTTGTTGTATTTTTATAAATTGAAAATTTAACTTCCTATTCAACAGGCTTTCTATTCCCACTCAATTTTATATTATAAAGAGTTAACTCTTAAAATTTCTTCTCCAACAGACTCTTTATTTAGACTTTAAGATAAAGAGTTCAATTTGACTTTCTACATTTAGAGACTCAAATTACCTCTCTANGAGTGCTTTTTTTTAAATGAACGATACGAATTCCATTAATTATGAATATTCGAGAGGAGGAGGTCCAGTAAAAAATCTGGAGCCACCTCCTCTCATACATCAAAACAACTAAGAGAAGTATGTCTAGCCAAACAATGTGCAACCTTATTACTAGACCTTCTTACAGTAGAAAAATCAAAGGATCTAAACTCATTCAAAGCTTGCCATATATCCGCCAATATTGTACCCAATGGCACAAAATCATCAGCAACTTTCGAAATCAGCTTCGTTACATTGATTTAGTCACCTTCAAAAATAATGTCTCCTCACCCATAATTACGTGCAAAAAGGACAGTCTCTCTTGCAGCCAAAACTTCCGCCGAATGCGCCACACAAAAGGAGGTCAACTTCTTTGACAAACCAGCTTTGAAAACACCGTGCTCGTCCCTAATAATCACTCTGACACCAATAGCATCTTCGAAAGCGAATACGGCCCCATCAAAGTTCACTTTCAGACTACCCGCCAGAGGAGGAGACCAGCTAGTGGCTGCGGAAGCCACACAAGACGAAGAGCCAGATTCCAAAGCTTGCTCATAATGCCTTATATAGTCCGTGGAGTTTTGGGTTAGGATGGTTGGGTCCTTTTTTAGATTCTGGAAAAGGGCCTCGTTTCTATGTGTCCACAAAAACTAACAACAAACCAAAAATAGAGAGAATCGTTTAGAATTCATTTGCTGTGCCATTTCCTCCATCCACCAATTAATGTGAGAAGCCGGAGCAAAGACCAGGTGAGACAGTGAACTGCCAGCCCAAACCTGCATCGCCCAGATCCAGTCCTTAACAATATGGAGACTACTTTCCCTCCTTTGTCGCAGACGCAGCATGTGTCATCTCATCGAAGTTTCCTCCTCCTAAGGTTCTCATTAGTCCCTAACAATATGGAGAATACTTTCCCCTGCTTTGCCGCAGATGCAGCATGTGTCATCCTATCAAAGTTTCCTCCTAAAGTTCTCGTTAGTTGGTAGAGAATCTAGTACCATGCGCCAAGCGAAAATAATTTTGGTGCTTATTTTAATTGTTGGTTCAATTTATGCATGGTGAAAAGGGGCATAGGAAAAAAAATTAAATTGAGATAGTTATGAATTCCATTCAATTTTCCTTATTTGAGCAAATTCAGACTAAACTCGATCACTTGACCGTGGGGGGGGGGGGGGGGGGGGNATGCACCACGAACAGTGAAGCGCCCATTAGAATTGTAGAATCAAATTAACTTATCCTCCATAGCAACAACACCCAATGGAATCCTTTTAATCACCTCGGCTTCATGTGGTAAGAAGACCTCATTAATAATATGAACATTCCATGAGCGAGTTGTCGGGTTGATGAGATCGCTAACAATAGCATCCACTTGCAACAGGTTCCTTGGAGAGACAGCTCTAAAAGTAATGGGGGTCGGAATCCACCTATCATGCCATACTTTAATGTTAGAGCCATCACTGACTTGCCAAATAGAACCAGCCTCTATGATAGATCTTGCTTCATAAATGCTTTGCCAAGTATATGATGGTCTGTTACCCATCTTAGCATCCAACATAGATTCAACCGGAAAATATCTGGATTTTAAAACTTTATGTAGGAGGGTATGAGTTTCATGGTGAATCTCCAAGCTTGCTTAGCCAACGTCGCCATAGTGAAGGTTCTTAGGTCCTAGAAACCCAAACCTCCATTGCCGTTGCTCTTGCACATATCCATCCATTTCACCCAATAGATTTTCTTCTCGCATCTTTCTGACCCCACCAAAATTGGACGCCATTGATTCCAAATCGCTGCATAAGTATTCTGGAAGTTTAACGCAGCCCATAGCGTAAGTACGGATAGACTGTGCTACCGCTTTAATGAGAACTTCCTTTCCAGCTCTGGATAGCAGTTGTTCCTTCCATCCTTGCAATTTCTTCCCTACCTTCTCCCTTTAAGGGGCAAAAATTTCTTTCTTTAAGTGACCCACCACCGAAGGCAGACCCAAATATTTTTCATGCTTAGGAACCCGTGGGACACCCAGAATGGCCATTAATTTTTCGGCCCTTGCTTCTGAAACAGTTTTGCTGCAAACCATGGCCAATTTTTCCTTATTTATTTGCTGTCCAGAAGCAGCCTCGTATAAAGCCAACAGCTCCTTGATTGGCTCCACATGGAGTTTAAGTCCTAGAAACAACTAATGTCCTTTTATTGGGTCCAACCTAAAACTAGGGTTCATTCTAACCAAGTGAAACGTATAAAAAACTATTAACAATTCTATGAGTCAGCAACAAGTTGCCAAAAATTTTGCTATTTGGTAGAAAACTGCTCACCAATTTGGAAAGGAATTTCAAGAAATATTTTGCGAAGCTATTTGAACAAATGTTTTTAGTCCTAGAAACTAAACTATGAAACACTTGAGCATCTTTCTAGAAAGATTAGTGATAATTATGTGCCTGAAGACACTTTATAATACCAAAAATTGAGTATTGATTGTGCGATATTTATACTTTAAATAATAATTTATTTTTTCCTTTAATTATATCATTTAAAATTAAATTAAATAAGGAGAAAATAAGATAGGAATATGAAATATGGAATAGGGAAGAGGGAAGAAAGAAGTGGGTGTGAATTAGGAGTTGTTTGGCATTGGAAAATATGTTGATTGAGTTGTCTGACATTGGGGGCGGTGTNATAGATCTTGCTTCATAAATGCTTTGCCAAGTATATGATGGTCTGTTACCCATCTTAGCATCCAACATAGATTCAACCGGAAAATATCTGGATTTTAAAACT